AGGACAACTTGGCCAAATATATATTATTGGAATCGTGTGAAAAGATTTCACGTTATTTCTTTTTGGTAATCTCAATTTTATCACTGATTTATTGTAGGATACGAAACTAAGGAAGGTATAAATGGAGATCCTTTACTGCATTCTGATGGTGTAATAGTTGCGGACAATATGAACATCGTGGAGGACCAAACGTTAGGAGAAGATGGAGAGAAAGTTCTGGAGGTGGGTATGATGTTCGAGGATGAAAAGAGGTGTTTGATTTTTATAAGAGATATGCTTACACCATAGGTTTTCCAGTGAGGAAAAGGAATTCTAAAAAGGGGATGATGGAGTTGTTAGATATGTGATATTCACATTTAGTCATCAAGGGTGAAAAAGTAGTAATGCAAGCATATATTTGAAGCCGCAACCAACAAGTCAAACAGATTGTAAAGCGAGGATAAATGGATCGACAAACGATAATGGAACATAGAGAATTAAAACCATCTACCTCGAGCACAATCAGAAAACAAGCCCTTCAAAGTCAAGGTTGTATCGATGCAACCGAGGATTGAGTGAAAATGTGAAACGGAAGCTCGAATTGAGTGACATGGCAAGGATTCCGTTGCGCAAAAGTTTCAACTCCACAGTTGTCGAAGTAGGTGGGTATGAGAATATGACTTTTGTTGAAAATGATTGTCACAACTACATCGAACAAGTGAGACGGTTATGACTTGAAGAAGGAGATGCCGCAGTATTACAATCATACTTTTCAAAAATGCCAGCACGGTGTTCGAGATTTTACTTCATTATGGATGTAGACCGTCGGCTTAAGAATATATTTTGGGCGGATAATAGGTGTCGGCAAACGTATAAAGAGTTCAGCGATGTTATTACATTTGATACCATGTATCTCATGAATAAATACGATATGCCTTTTGCCCCTTTTGTTGGCTTGAATCATCAAGGACAATCAATGCTGCTTAGTTGTGGTTTGTTATCGAATGAGGATACATGTACGTTTGTGTGGCTTTTTGAGACGTGTTTGCAGTGCATGCATGGTCAACCCCCCATGGCATAATTACTGATCAAGATAGGGCCTGTAAAATGCAATCAAGATTGTTTTTCCGAATACTAAACATAGATGATGTTTGTGGCACATTATGAAAAAATTACAGGAAAAGTTTGGCTACCACATTCATAAAAGTTCGATTTTCTCGGCTATACACACAGTAGTATATGATTCCCAAACTATTGATGAATTCAAAGAAGGTTGGATAGCAATGATCAATAGTTATGACTTGCACGATAATGATTGGTGTCAGGCATTTACGAGAACATAGGTTGTTGGGTTCCATGTTATTTGAAGACCACTTTCTGGGTATGCATGTCCACAACGCAACGTAGTAAAAGTATGAATGCTTTTTTTGATGGAAATGTCCATTCGAAAACTTCGTTGAAGTAGTTCGTCGAACAATACGAAAGAGCATTCAGGAATAAGGTTGAAAAGAAGTTTCATGCTGATTTCAAGTCGTATTCACAGATGGTACCATGCGCAACTACTTTTGAAATGGAAAAGTAACTTCAGTCAGTTTACACTCTTTCAAAATTCAAAGAAGTTCAGGTTGAGTTCACGGGAAAGGTTTATTATGACGTCATTTCAGCCTCAGAGAGTTGTCTTGAGATGAATTACGAGGTTCGCGAGTTTGTCATACATCCTGGGGGTCAGAAGAAGAAAACATTTTTCGTATCTTTTTGTGGCGACACTTTAGAGATTACTTGCAGCTGCCACTTGTTCGAATTTCGTAGAATTACTCGTAGACGTGCGATCACTATTTTGGACCATAACAACATTACATCAATGCTGGAGAGGTATATATTGCGAAGATGGAGAAGAGACGTCAGTAAAGCTCACACGAGGGTCTCAGTAAATTATGACGAGTTGGTTAGTACACCTGAACGGTTGAGGTATGATGAAATGTGTATGGCTTTTTTGGAGGTGGCGAACCTAGCTGCACCCGATGAAGGGGGTTCACGTACGATGATGGACTGGATGAAATCGAAAGCTATAGAACTCAGGACTTCGAATCCAAGTGGTGGAAGAAATGTCCCTTCACAGCTAACTATTCATTCAGCAAATCAATGTACAATTTCGTAAAATAACACCGACGTCAGCGTATTGGATCCCATAGTGTCGAATAGAAGGGCGCGCCACGGAAACTTCGGAGAAAAAACCTATTGGAGTCCAGATCGAAAAAGAGAAAGGTACATTGCTTGCAGCTGATAAGCATAATATTTATATTGAGTACTAACATTTACTTATATTGGTATGTAGGAAACTTCGACTTCAAGCAAGGTAAGGAGATCGAGAGCTAACCGTAATCATGTCGAAGAGGCTGCACCCATCGTCCAATTCAATCAACAACTTCAATACTCACAGCCAACGCCGTTGTCATATTCACAACTCCTGCTGGTCAGTACATACATTTTCATGTGTTTGAAGATTGTACTTATGTTGGTATTCAAGATTATTATTTTTCATTTTCATCATCCATATGTACTATCGCCTACACCTATTTCAGGATTGTCATGTCCGTGCTTTGCCGACCATCGTCAATTGCATCGAGGATGAACCGTCACAGGAATGGGTCAGTTGGGCTTCGATGTTGTTTAGGTAAATTAGCATTTTTTAGCCTTTCTTTCGTGAAAATTTGCCAGTGTAAATTGACATCCTTATGTGAACTAATTATGTAGGAACACCGTTCCAACACCCTCCACCATAATCCGCCAATAACGTCGATTAAAATCGATGGCAATGGATTTGAAGGGTTTTGAAAGGATGACATTATTTTACTGTTAGATATTTGATTTCGTGATGTTGTGAATTCTGAAGAACAATCTCCATTTGCCCGTGTTTGATTTGAACTAATTGTGTATCAAAACTCATTTTCGTGGAAAATAATATATTATTATTCTGATTATGCTTATTATATTCAAATTCTGCATATATTTGTGACCATCGGTGGCATTTCTTTGAAAAGTCATGAGCGTTTGAATTCAACAAAAAATCACATTTTGATCCATATTTGTAACTCTCTCAAAGTTACTTTTAATTCGAATTGCATCGTGTATAGCATTTTAATTTGCTGGAATGTGGTTATATCTCCAAACCGACATGATGGCACCAATAATGCAGGGACTATATTAGAACTGCCATGATAATTGCCGATTAAAAAATTTAACGGTGAAAACGGTCATGAAAATATGAAGAGGAAAATCTGAACAGATGCATGATTGTAATTCAAACACCATCGACAAGACATAAAGCTGCCTTGACAAAACAATAAAAAATTAGAAGTACATTTACATGTTCATGCTATCTTCAATACCAGCAGCTAAAGCTACTACAAAACTCAACTCCACTCCACATGTACTAAACTGAACAATTGCAAAAGTAGTTCCTTAATAGCAATCTTTTTACTACAAGCTTAATTGAATGCAAAACATTCAATGTGTAGATGGTGATCAAGCAAGGCCCTTGCCTTTTCCATTCACTTCCACACTTCATTTCCCCTTGCGAAATGTGACGTTCGACGAAATCTAGATGTCTCATTTTTCGGCTATTCGAGCTAGGCTGTCGAACATAGGCGACAAATCTTCGACTTCCTTGATTGTCACAGGATTTACCGCTTCAGTCACAGTACTCGATTCACCCTTTGATTCTTCATTCATGACCCAATCAAAATAACCACAACTTTTACTGCACGTTTTGAATAATCGCCATTTGTTCTCGGTCTCCCTTTCAACCTCAAAACATTTCTGCAATCTATGCGCACACAATGGGCATCGCTATTTCATCGGGCAATCCTTAAAGAAGTGCTCCGTGCTTCTACATCCGTNTATTCAGAAAATCTTCAACTTCCTCGAACATATTCCATGTGCACACCATGTGCATCGTAGTTTCATCGGGCAATCACTAATGAAGTGCTCCGTGCTTCTACATCCGTGACAAACACCAACATTTCGACCTCTCATCCTGGACGGGAAGCAACAACAACAATCAAATGTTATTACTACACATGAACACAATAGCCACTTTACAGGAACTTTCTAAACTGTCAACTGCACCTGCCACTTTGCAAGAGAATGGGAACTTTCAACAGTCAACTGCTTCAGTAATTATAATTTGAGCACTCCCAGAGGATCAGCAGGCAGTGAATGGATATATCATGCTCATTTAGCCATAATGTTGATCACAACCTCATACATTAACTTTTGAATTGAAACAAGCTCAGCAACTGATCACATAAAAATGAAAAAAACAATGGCTTCAAATAACATAATAAAGTAAATTGACAGTAAATACTTCAAAGCATTCTAGTTTTGCACAAATTAAAAACCAAAAATTAAGAAACTAAAATAAGCTCTCATTTTTTAAGAGCAAGGCACGAGGTGTTATGCTGCAACAGTAAGTACAAGAAGTTGCACCCTTCTTGTACTTGTTGGGAATTTACTTAA